ATAAATTTTATATTCTTAGTTAGTTCTTAAAAGAGAACATAATTTTTAAATATAATATTCTTAAATTTTTTTAAATGTTTTTAAGAACACTAAGAATATTAAATATCTAACACTGGGTGGAAGTAAAGATATGATCAGAGGGTTTAATTGGATACTCCATATAGTAGATATGCAAGTATGGCAGATAGTGTAAAACTCTTAGTATAGCATTACTGCTTTGGGCAGACTACTTAAATTAGGTACCAAAAGTACACATGTTGCTATATATACTCTCATTGTAACTGAAATAATACTTAATAATAATAAAATCACCATTGACAAAGAGGTCACCTTAATACTAAAAAATAAATAAATGAATAAATAATTTTGTAGATTTTAATATTTTTTATAATTTATTAAAAATTATAGAAATATTGTGATTTTTAGTAAATCTCTTTTCAGCTTTTAACTAAAGTTGTAGAGGAGTGCCTTGCAATCAAAATAGTGGTTAAATGTTAAAATCGATCTAGTAAATTGAGAAATAAGTATTTTAATCTTTATAACTATATATTTTCTTTTTATTTATATAAAGAAGAAAACATATAATGCAAAGACAAAAATATTTATATCACGTGATCTACTAGGCTAATTTTAACATTTTAATTGCCATTTTGATTGCAAGATGCTCTTTTACAATATTTATTAAAAAGCAAAAAAAAGTTTATTTAGTAAAAAAAAGTTTTAGTTGAAAAACTTCAAATTTAAAAATTTTACTATGTTTTGTCATTGAATTTAGAATATGTTCATAAACTTTGAACTGAACCTAAACTGAATATGAAGCTAACTTAAAAGTTCAATACTGAATTGAATTAAATATAAATCTTACTTAAAAGTTCAATATTGAACATGATTGAACTGAACCTGAATCTAAACTTGACCAAAGTTCAGTTCAGTTTAGGTTTATAGGAATACTACTAGAACCTAGGCAGATCAACTCTTCTGAGTTACCAGCTAGAAATTAATAAAGAATCTGAGTAAAAAAAATAATCTAAATATGAGTATTAGGGTTGTTGTAAACCAAACAAGAGCAAGGAGTACATAATAGACAACTAATTAGAAAGTTAGTTTTTGAGAAATGATCATAATATAGCAACATCCAAAAAATAATATAAGATATGATTACAGTATAGTAGATCAATATATACTAATTAAAAAAAATTATAAAAATATGCAGATGAATATATGTATGGGACATATATTGCTTTGTTAGAGGATAAACTAGCTTAAGTTAGTAAGTTTTAAGATAGGATATAAAATTTACATAGATAAATACAAAATCTAATATATAAATAGTAAGTAATACTTATAGGTTAGAGGCAAATAGTGGTAGTTGGAACTAGATGGTTTAAATAGACAACTCTCATAGTTGGATATAAGTATAATAGATAGTGTGGAATCTTTAGTATAATACTAATGCTTTGGGCAAACTGTTTAAATGTGGCTTGATATATTATTATTGTAATTGCATTATAAAATGTCATCTATATTCTAATAAAAGTTTACTAGACCAAAGAGATCACCTTAATACCAAAAAAAAAAAGAAAAACTTATATTCAAAAAAAAAACAAATATATTTTTTTGAAAAGGTATTGATAGAAATTTGGTTTGTGTCTACTGCATGTCTATTAAAACCAAAATACTTTTTGATAAGAACTCTTGATAAAATATGATTTGCTTAAGAAAGATAAAATAAGCAAATAGTGATGAAACATAATTTTGTTGTTTTGGTATTTAGCTTTTTTATGAATTGCAAGCCTTTTTTAAGAAGAATATCCAATATGTATCAAAATTTTAAATATCACAATCAAAATTTTGATTAATTTAATTGGTTAATAATATGTTTTGATCATCTTATGCGACAAAATCGGATTTTGTCACATACGGAATAGAGTCAAATCGCCCATATGTTGAGCTGAATCATATGACGTATCTTGTATGTACATGATTTTTGCCACTTGTTTTAGCGTCAAATTTCAAAAATCAAATGACCCAAAAGGGATGCAAAAAAATGAAGAAATCGGTCATAACGCAACATTTAACCTATGAAATCACTTTCTGCGCATTAGCAAAAAATTTTCCTTGCAACTTTTTGATAAGAGCAAGCATTTTCTAACATAATCTAATAGCAAAACTAACAGTAATATAATGTCAATTTTTTTAGAAAAATGATGATATTAGAGTCCTACGTTTAATTTTACGTACCTGTTACCAGTAATAGTAAATTTTACATATCAGATATATATATTGAAATTTATTAAAATTTTTATTTTCATTACATCACCCAAATATATTTAACTTTAAAAATAAATGTCGGAATAACAATTTTACTAATCATCTAAATTAAAGTTAATTCTCAATACTTTAAAACAACTTATTCCTATTCTAATAAGACAGCACAAAACAACGAAATTTCTTCAAGTCATCGAGACAATATAACTAGTCAATTTAAACAAGAAGTTAATAGTCACTATGGCAATATAGCGATACGACATTATGGAAATATGGAATTACAGACCGAAATATCAATACAGCATTACTGCTGTACCGCGTAACATTTTTTTTGCAGTTCTTTACCATTTTAAGTTTTATTTTAAGAATTTATTTTTCACACATTTTAAGAATTTATTTTTTACACTATGGTAAGAATTTATATTTACACCATTTTAAGATTTTATTTTGATGCCCAAATTTTCAATAATTACAAAGACATCTATATATGCATATATTTTAATGCTAAGATCAGGCCATATGTAAATAGCTTATCAATTATAAAAATAATAAGCTGTTAGAATTTTAAAATTTTCAGGACTTCGAATAACCATCGGTGCAGCAACTACGTTTCACAAATATATTCGATAAATTCATTCAAAAAAAAAAAAAATTCAATTAAAATTTATTGACCAATAAACAAAATTAAATTTATGAATGCATAATAAAGGATTTATTTAAGCATGCAAACGAAAAAAATTACATATTTCAAAAAAAAAAAAAAAAAAAAATCATCCCCAAAAACTAGGATGATAGAAGTCGCAAAAGTAAACATTTATTACATAAAATGAAACTCCAAAAAAATAATTTATATGTGAGAAATAATATAAATTAAGTCCAATGGGAAAAAAAACAAGTTCAACTCTGGGGCAAGATTTCTTTTTTCACAGCATGTGCATGCGTAACAGTATATATGCGTAACAGTATATATGTATATACATGTACAGTACATACACAGGTCCAAGAGCAATTATGCATCAATTATAGTGAAAATAACGCCAGGTATTACTTTATTTACATATATATATATATATTTGCAAGTCATATGTGGCCATAAAATTAATGTTTACTTAAGAAATGTGGGGGTATTTGAAGATAAGAATAAGCTAACGATAAAAAAAAAAAAAAAAAAGATGAAGGAAACTGATTGGCGGAATTTAATAATTGACTATACTCCTGATTAACGTTTAGAGACGCCGGTGAAATTAATTTCACCAATTTCACAAATTCAAACACCAGTTTCACCGATAGAGTTCACCGGATCATTACCGTTACTCCTAATAACTCTTAAGCGACTTACCCTTTCTGGCTAGAGACCGTCCGATGAGTCAGAAGATCTATTATTTATACGGACATGTATGTTTAAGAAACATAAATTATGCGTGAGAAAATTCACGTCGCGCAGAAAAGATTTTAATGATTTTTTTTTATTCCAATAATCAGAAATGAAGTAGAAATAAGTAATAATTATATAATTTACACATACGTACGCATATCAATATATTGCATATGACCATGAAATTATTTCTTGTTATTTTTTTTTTTTTTACATGTGTTACGATGTAAACAAGTTTATTCAAATTGTCATGATCAGGATTTTGTCAAATGATTGGCTGATACGTGCCGTAAGCGGCACGTGCTTATTGCCAAATTACCGTTATTCGCCAATCTTAATTAGTGACAACTATAATACCATATGGGGCTTAGAAACGATTTTTTTATTTGTAAATATCAACGATTAATCAATTTTTGATTGTTGAGATAAATTTAGATATTTATATGTAATATAGTTTAGTGCGAATACACATACATTATACTGATATGCGTTGTTGATATAATTTTAACTTTATTAGTGATAGTGGTAGCGATAGTAGCGATTTAAAGCATTCTAACGTTAACAGTGGTCTAAAAATAGAACAGAGAATCAGCATATGTAAAATTACTGCGTATAGAACTGTACCAAATTATAGTATATCAACCTATGCTGAAATTTTTATTATGAATTATTCGCGCACTTGTGAATACTATCCAATAAAAATCTCAATATCGGTTAGATCGTCTCTAAACCCCGATTTGTTGTGGAAGGACCCATATAATATATATACATGTGTATACTGTATGTAGAAATATGCATGATCTTCTATCTAAATTTACATGTGTACGTGCGTATGTAAGTACATACTCATTATAACTTAAATCGATAGTCTAGGAGAATTGTAGTGTGTGGATTTAAAAAAAATAAGGATTGGCAAAGTTTGACAAAGAAGTTAGCAAAAAGAAGTTAGGCAAAGAAGTTAGGCAAAGAAGTTAGGCAAAGAAGTTAGGCAAAGAAGTTAGGCCATGAAAAAATTGAAGCCATTCAAACAATCTAAAATTGATTTATTTAGCATGCCGAAAATCGACGAATTTACTTGCCAACAAGTTTTATAATCAAAGACCAATTTAAAAAAAAAAAAAACCAAATCAAGTAAACAAATTCTGACCAAGAGCACTTTTAATCAAAGGCTAATTGTGCGATTACATAACTTTATTATTTATATATTTATATATTGGCAAATTTTGAGCAAAAAAATTATTCTAAAATACAAAAATGTCTATTTTAACCCTGAACGACTTTCTTTTGCTCGACAATTTTCATATCACATTGATATGCCATATTATCATCTCTAGCAAGCCAATGGTCAGCAGCAGGATCACGCTTCTTTTTTATGCGCAGTAGAAACATTGAGTCTTTCGTCACGACTTTTAAGTGCTTTTGGCGAAACTTGATTATCTTCAGTGAAAGCCATCATAAGTTGAGGTGGACCTATATAAAAAAAAAAAAAAAAAATTTTTTTTTTGACTTTTCACGTGGAATTAATTAATCACGATTATAGAATAACTTATTCAAAAACTTACCGAATGGTAAAGGATCGCCTCGATCAACTTGCCAAAAATGCCAAGTCTAAAAAAAAAATCGGAAAACTATATAGTAAAGCAAAAAAGAGGAGAAGGGTATCACCTATATTTTTATTTACCTTGCCGTAAGTATTGATCAAATTTTCCATCACTTTCCCCTCTGCTTTATCAGCAACAGCCGTTGGAACCAAAGATCCGAAAGGACAGACTAACATTCCAGACTTCACCTATTAAAATGAGAAAATGAGAAAATATATTATAACAATATTATATATCGTGGAATATTTCGCCGCCTGTCATGGGAAGGAAAAACGAGAGAATTCCAACCTCATAAGTGTGAGAATGCCAAAACTTCTTTTCATCCTCAGTAAGTGCTATAGTAAAATAAAATTTAGTTAATCGAATTATAGTATAAAAAAATTAAAGAAAAAAAATTCGATAACACACTTTGGAAAAGCTTAGCTGAAATGATGGATGTATTCAACACCGATCAGTTTAGCACCAGGCTCGTTAGAATCATAAATAATACATTGACGAAAGTCATCGTTAAGATGACTGCAATAGTGATGAGATTCAATTTGACGTGTCATATCATGACTAAAAAAAAAAAACAATAAATAAGTACATAATTAACAATAGTATTAATAGCCATTAGTGTGCAATAATAACAAATAAATAATAATATAAATAAATGAATAATAGTAATAATAATAGTAATAATAATAATAATAGCAATGAATGAGTCACACACAGCAATAAAATAAGTAACAATGAATGGCATCAGATGAAGTAATAACAAATGAAGAATGATGGATGGATGGATGAATTAATGAGCGATTATCGTACAGGATTGCCAATACCTGTAAAAGTGAAATGCACAAACATGTTCGTGTATCTTCTTTAAAGGTTCAAAACTTTGAGAAACGTCAACCGCAGTATCAAGCATGCTTTGTGCAGCAGGTAGCTTTTCACCAGGGGGACCTGGATGCTATTTTAGGTGTAAAAAAAAAAATCTGCATTTCATTTCATTTTTCACATAACAAATGAAATCGTGCAACACATAAACATACAGGAGGATTTGGGCAAGTTTCACTCATTTTTTTTAAGGGATCTAAAATCGTTAACAGTTTTAAGATAGCTTTAAGGTAGCTTTAAGGTAGCTTTAAGGTAGCTTTAAGGTAGCTTTAAGGTAGCTTTAAGGTAGCTTTAAGGTAGATAGAAAAGCAAAACGAAAGGTATAAATCTTAAATATTTATAAAAAGCATAAAAAAGCAACGAGTTTATGTCAAAATTTTGTCATTATTACGGTATTATATAATTTGATAGAATATCATCATTAATAGATCATTCTTCACCGTTTTTCAATAGTTAATGTTAAAAGGTTCTTCTTTGATATAACACATGCATATACAATTATGGAAATTTTACATCAAAGTTGCAATACGTACGTACGTATAATGTGAATCAACAAATCTAGATCAATCTATACGTATCGATATCATTATTTAATTATTTAATATATGAAAAGTTGGTAACTACAGTATTCTACGTATTAAGCATCTTAGTATTGCCTAAATTTGTATCACCGTACCAGTGATATGTCCGTACATACGTACATATCCGATACATAAATTACGGATTAAAACTAATTATAAATTTGCAAAAGTTCACTGAAATGATAATTGAGACACACGTGTTGAGTTAAAAATTAGAATATTTTTTATTATAACTTTTAAACTCAAAATTATACCTGGGAAGAAAAAAATGTATAAATTATCAAGTAATCCAGGTAATTTAATAATACGTGGGTAGGAATTTTCTCGATGGTACGTACGATAATCATAGATGGTATGAGCTTCAGAAACACTTACAATTTGGAACATTTCTAACCATAATCGGGGTGTGTTACAAGATAAAAAAATTTTACAGAGATCTAGTGTAATATATCTCGTTCATATAAGATCCAATTCCCCTAAACTTTGTTTCTAATAAACCATAACACAAGACCTAAAACAAGTTTTATTTATTTTCCCTTAAAAATTTAAGTGTCCCGCAAACCCGTTTTTTTTTTCTGAGATGCATATTGCATATAAATACATAAATACTGAAATATATATATAAAAATATATCTATAATATATAATAATATATATATAATACGTAATAATATAATAATATAAATAATAATAATCTTTTACGTATTATTATTATATATTATCTGTTATTATATATATATATATTATACGTATATATAACATTTTAATAACATTTATTTTAATATTGTATTATATTATAAGTTTTGCGAGTAATTAAATTTAAACATAAAAAGAAAGCCATACAAAAAAGGATTACACATTTTTGATAAATTTACTGAAGATCTAGGAATATCCGTATTCATAGCCACATTTGAATTAGAATTACAGCCACTGTTTCGGTAAAATTTTAATGTCTAAAAGGTTTGATAAATAGTACACAGCCACTGTTTCGGCAGTTTCCATAAATGATAAGTGAACAATAATAATCTAACTAATCTAACGTAAAAAAGATTAAGGGAGAATACAAAAAACATTAAAAATTGATGTGCATATAAAGTCATTAAAAAAATCGAACCAATTGCTTTACATTAAAGTTTACAATAACTTTTTTATTGTTTTATTGATTAATTGGTTAGTTTTACGCCTTATTTGTCCATAATTAAAGGAAAAAAAAAACATTATCATTGTGTTATGATAAACAATGTATATCATAAGCTGTATTGGTATTGGAAAGAAAAAAATGGCATGATTTTTTCGTTTTCGATTACATACATAAATTTACCACGGAAATATATCCGATTTCTTTAAATGTTACTCATATTCAAAAAACTGTCAGTTCGAATGTCTATAAGAAGTAATGCAGGGTGCGCCATTCCGCGCAATCGGCGTAATAATAGATTATCCTGTTACACTTTGTTTAAAAGGTTATTTTTTTTTCGATTTTTTTTACCGTTATATAAAGGGCCTTTGATTCAGTTATTTCAACTTTAAAAATTTAAGAAATTTAGACATTTCAAATCTTTAAAGCTTCCTCCTCTCTTACCAATCCATTTCACTCTTTAACTTTCAATGAATCGCTCAACAATCTATAATCTAAAATCGTTCCATAAACCCTGGATCAATCTCGTTTACCAAAACAATAACTTGACTAAAATGATGTCAACAACGGATCACCACCATAATGACAACTCGTATGAAGGGCAGTCATCAACGGATGCTGTAAAATGACCTATGCTGCGTTTTTTGTCGGTGGATTTACTATATTATCCTTATCATCTTTCGAATTTTCGTTCAATTCGCCATCGATAACATGTACGACGTCGATAATACAATATATGCGATTCAGAAACTTCTTCGGTTCGGTAAGATGTGGGCGCTATCGAACTCCTCATAATTTCTAATTTCTGGTGAAGAAAAAAACCAGTTCGTAAACGGTTATTCGCTTTTTTTTTTTTTTTTTTCTTTTTTCTTTTTTTTTTTTTATATAAAAAAAAAACAAAAAAATTCGTTGTATTAAAGGTAACTAGTCTTGCTCCTTGTGAAAGATCGAGTTTTTTTTTTCTTTTTTGTTCCTTTGAGATATTGAAACCTGTTTAAAATAAGCTTTTATGATCCTAATATGATGTAATTAAGCCTCTTTTTGTATCGGATTTTTTGATTTTATCAAATATATAATTATATAATAATTATTTTATCGTCAATAATTTATAATTGATTTTATAATAATAAATACAAGTATTAAACCTGCTTTGGAATTTTTAAATAAATGCTTTTTTGACATTTAAAACGAAAGTATATAATATTTATATCTGTATGCATGCTTTAACTTAATCAGGCAAATCCTTAATACATTCCAGATGATTCTGTTTTTTTTTTCCTTTTGGTTATGCAGATACATAGTGAATTCTCAGCTATATTTGATATCCGTATATCTATGTATATCAATGTGTAACACTTTCGATTCCTTTAAAGTATTTTCAAAGATCCACATTGTTTTTTAAATTGTCCCCGACCATCAAAATTTCATGAATACTTTCTCGAAATGAAAATTTTGAATTACGACATTTGTTGATCAATGTTTCACTGTGACCAATAAACTTTAAGCGTATAACGCGAATAAGGATTTTTCCCTTCAATTTTGGTTAAGATCATTTAAAAAAAAATAAATATATATATTTATATATGTAATAAATAAATTATGTATTATACTAAATAGGCTAAACGCGTATACGTACTATGGGAAAAATTTTAGCACGTGACACGAATAATCTTTATTCTTTTCGCATTATACGCACTATATCGTGAATAATAAATAATAATAAATAATTTCTTTTCAATATATAGATAGATAAGAGATAAACTTCTTGACTAATTATTTTTTCACATATCTACGCATCATACGCATTATCCATACATCATCTATACGCTTTATCCTTCTTATCTCGAACTTATTTTAAATTATTCCATTCTGGATGACCTGCTATCTCTAACATCTTAAGTACATCTTAAAATGATATTAATGTTATTATAAGCAACCACATGTCTAAATTCAGCAGCCATTATTTAATTCTATACGTTTATAGAATAAAGATAAGAAAAATTTGGTTTGAAATAGCTGGATACTTTGTTACGATTTAATACCTGATTATTTACGTAATCTGATATTTAACTGTTCAAAATTAATTTAAATAAATATAATTGATGAGTAATAGAATAGTAGCTACATTTAATTTTTATAATTTTTACATTTAATTTTGTGATCACATTCGCACATTTTATTTTTTCAATATATTCATTTTTATATTTTCTTTAAATTATAATCTATTATAATATAAAATAATTAATTTTGTAATATACTTGGAATTTCATTTAAATATTTTTTATGGTTAGTATGTGCATGATTCTGACGCCTTATCTAAAATAATGCTCTTGATTTACTAAATTTTGATTTTCTAAATTAAAAAAAAATATTATTTTGCATGTTATTCAAAGTTTTAAATAATTTTTTATTTTACGTGTATTTATACTGTATATGACGACGTATTTTTATCTATGTATTCAATTTATTGTATATTTTATTTTTGAAAATCATTTATTGTAATATTTAGTTGTTTATTTATTATGTCAATTTATAAGTAAATTGGCTCGTAAATTTAAATTGCGACATTTAAAATTTATCTATTATTGCTCCTATTTTTAAAGTATCACTTTATGTTAAATAATAAGTAAATCGACTTGTAAATTGATCAATTATTGCAGATATGTATAACAAATAGGGTATCAAATTTTAAGTTAAATAAGTTAATTATATATATATATATTAATTTTTTTTATACACCTGTTGTGATTGCTTTGATACACGTAAAATCAATGTCAAAAAAAATTTTTTTTTCAAGGATCATTAAATGTTCCTTAAAAACTTTTAGTTTGAATGGCTTGACAAACTAGTAAAGACTGAACCCGGGTATGAGTGCTATCCAAGTCGGGTAACCTGTAGATCATAACCGGTTAAGTTATTATCTACCCGGGTAAACTTACCCGACTAAACATATTCGGGTAGAATAACCGGGCGATAACTCGAACAAAAAATATACTGTATCATGGGATACCAATGATTATTTGAAAATTATTGATTTTGCCATATAACGATAAAAGCTATTTTTTGTATTACATTTTTATTTGTACCTTATGTTCAAGCTGATGTATAGTCCTTTAAATTGACAGTAGGTAGCCCAAGCTATTTTGGGTATGTACTGACTAGTATCACTTTAGATATTTACCCTATTCATAATACAGTTTTGGGACAAGGAATTTGCAAATGTACATTACTATTACTAGCACAACTATTAAGGGCATGGGCACCAGGTGTCAGACATTAAAACGTCAAGTGCTTGATATTCTACATCATTCTACATAATTCTACAACAAATATGGATCCGCATTTATTAAAGATGTCTGTTGTAAAGTCGTCCTTTTTAGAATTAGTTGTAACTTTTGTGTACCCTCTTCTTGTTACAAAAAGATGTAAGATCGCAAAGTCACATATAATATTACGATATATTTGTAACTTATCATCAAATTTTATATTATTCAATCGTTGATTTATTCACAGAGGATGTTACATCATAATGGTGGCCAAGTTATATTTCAGCATCCCAGTGAATAATAAGTTATCATCAATAACATAAGTATTTATAAGAATAAAAGATCGGTTAAATTGTTAGATAAAGGGTCTTGCCAAAAGCTTGATATAGAATGTCTAGAATTTTTGTGCCCACCGATACAGGCACAAACTCAATGGCACTAGTACCAGGCATATACGGCATGGCCATTTGCAAATCCCTACTTACAAAAGTCCTGGCCAAATTTTTGTGCCCATTCTCGTGCCAATCTTTGCGCCTATGCCCGTACTCATGCCAGACTCCTGTGTCTGTGCCATATGCCCATACCTAAGACTTTGCACGAACCTGAGTTGCAGACCCTATTTGGGACGTTCCAAATAGTTTGGGTTACATCATTACGCTCAAATGCTACAATCAATAGATACAATGAATTAATATAAAAATACCGATTGATGCTTGAACTGTCTCTTTTTATCTTTAATTACACCGTATAATTTTATTCTATCCGAAAATAAGCGCCCCACAATTTTGGTATTCTGAACAGGTTCGTTTTAGGTAGGGTTAGAGTTACCTTTTTGATATATTTGGCTAGTTTTTTATATATAAATTATCAAGAATACAATTTATGCAATACGTAGATCAATATGTGAACGCGAATAACCAATAATCTTATTAAGTTAAAAACCGGTTAAAAACTAGTTTTTTGCTAACATATCCTTGGATTACCAAAGTGCATTGACCAAAGTACTGTACCTATCCTCAGTTAAATTATCCGGGTATTTTCAATTTCTGGTATCTCATTTTTCTGATAAGCCATTTAATCGAAAACCAATCTCCCGATATGTAATTTAACCGTTAATCTCACTATCCCGAATCTATTTGCATGATAACTCATTACATTGAACAACGATTTTATTATTATTATTATTATTTTACTGACAGATGTTTCACAGTATTGTAAAATGGTTACGGGTTAACTTCCAGAATTCCATTTTTCTTCACCGAAGCCATAATACTGACATTCCATTTTACTAACAAAGCATAATTTTAACACCTCAGTATTTCGTGTCTCTACAGTCCTGGTATCTAGGTGAAAATTAAATAAATACAATTATATAATTTTGTTCAATCGAGGATATACGTCATATAGTATTGTCGAAGAAAAGGCTGTCGGAAAGAATTCTTGTCAGAAAAAATATGAGCTCAGAGAAAGAGCTTTGTAAAAAACTACCAGTAAACTTCTTGCAGGTACGCGGCTTGTCGAGCAATTGGTGGTGTTGGGAAAAAAGCAGCTGGTAAAAGTTTCTGTCAGTGAAATATACTGTTAGAAAATATTCCGTCAAGAAAAAGGTATGCTGAGTGGGAAAATAGGGTCTCGGTAAGTTGAGAAATAACGTTGTATTAGACCCCGGGTCTAATCACCTAAATCTTTAGAACCCAAAGCTTAGTGTCTAAATTTTGGTTCATAAAACTTGCCTCCTGCTATTTCATTCTTTTAACAACTTTACAAAATAACTTATTGCACAATTTTTAAGCAATAGCTGTATTCTACAATGCAATTACTTATAGATCCTTTTATGTAAAATAAAATGACATCGAGATATAATAAAACTTATATAAAATAGATTTTATTAATTAGAAGATAGTGAATGCTTATTTACGATAAGAATTTCTAGTGCGATGGTATTGATGATGGTCTTGTGGAAGATCCATATTTAAAAAATAAATAATAATAATAATAAATGAGTGAATACATTTGAGCGGTCTCTTTTGTTACTCTATCAACTTTACAGTAGATTTCAACCAAATAAAAAAAAATTGCAGATCCTTTTGATCCAAGTGATAATCCAATCAATTGTTTGGTAAACACATTAGAAGGGGAGCTTAATCAGTTAGCAATCTACATAGTAACTATAGCGTAACTTACTATATTTTTATATAGGTTTAAAAGTTTTTTTCTTCATTTATTAAAAAAATTCTATATGATACAAAATTTAAAATATAAACATCTTAGATGTTACTAAACCAATTTTAATGAATTTTTTTACACTATATATAAAATGTTTTCTCTGCATATTTTGCTAGAAAATTAAGTATATTAGCTTATAAAAATAATAATAATAATAATAATTAGTTATGAGGAAATTAAGTTTTCATAATTATAATTTTAGGGAATTGCTATTTGTACTTCCAAATTTGCTGTCAAAACTCGATTTTTTTTATTCTTTGAGAGAAGATATCTCGACACTCACCAAGCCAAATTCAACGAACTTTTTTATTTATTTGTATGCTAAGAATCTGTAGAATTCAAATAAAGAAAAGTTTATTGGATTTGGCTTGATGATTGTCAAGATATTTTCGTTCAAATTTTTTAAAACTCAACGCCTATAAAAGTAGAAGCTGTGCCTCCAATGTTTGGACGAAGGTATCTTAACAACCACGGAGTCAAATTTGATGAATTTATTTTTATTTGAATCATGCAGATTAGTAGAATCCAAATAAAAAAAACTTTATCAAATTTGGCTTGATGGTTACTGAGATATCTTCGCTCAAAGAATAAAAAAAAATTTGGCGCAGCTTCTATTTGTAGGCGTTGAGTTTTTAAAAAATTTGAACGAAGATATCTTGACAATCAACAAGTCAAATTCAACAAAGTTTTCTTTATTTGAATTCTATAGATTCTTAGCATGCAGATAAAAAATTTCATTGAATTTGGCTTGGTGAGCATCGAGATATCTTCGCTCAAAGAATAAAAAAAATCGAGTTTTGATAGACGGTTTGAGTTTTTTATACTTTGAGCGAAGATATCTCGGCAACCACTAGGCAAATTTCAATGAATTTTTTTATTCGAATTCTATGAATGCATAGAATTCAAATAAAAAATTTTATCGAATTTAACTTGGTGGTTGTCGAGATATCTTTGCTCAAAGTTCAAAAAAAAAACTTTAATTTGCATGGGGTATGAATAGCAAATTTGGGGTACAAATAGCAATTCTCTTTATATAATAAAATATAATGTTTATTTTATCTTCGGGTAACTCCTTTTTCATTTTCTGATTTTGAAATTTCAAACCAAAAATAGGACTTTTCAAGCTCCCACTTATTTAACTCTGAAACCCATTCGCGTTAATCTAAGTATTTAAATAAGCTACTCAACCTCATAAATATTTACAATTTATTCGCGTTGTTGAGTACAAAAAATTATATTTAAATGTAAATAAAAATCTATTTTAGCTAATGATTAGTTGTATAAATCCTGTTGCAGAATTTCTTTTACCACCTGGATGACCCGGTGATCCACCCGCGGGTGACCCGTTGCGGAATTTCTTTTACCACCCGGGTGACCCACCCGCAGGTGACCCGGGTTGGGATTTTTGTGACGGGTCAGAACACTAGTATATATACTTCAAAATTCTTTTTTTTTAGTTTATTAAATTGATCCGACTGGGTTATGCGAACCAAAAAATTAACTTTTGCTTAGCCTAATATTTGGGCCACACAAAACTAATTAATTGATTTCCATAATATATGAGAGGTGGTCTATAAAAACGGCTTGACATTTTTACTGATTATCAAATGATTATCGTAAATGTGCGTATTATGCAAGATCCCTGAAATAGTAGACCCACTATGAATCAAACCCGGGTCTATAATATAGGTAATGAAATGTAGTAGACCCGAGTATACTATAAGAAACAATAATTAAAAGACCCGGGTATAGTATAAAGAACAAATAAATTAAAAAACCCGGATATAATATTAGTTTTCTATTATCAGTATTTAAATAATGCATATTTATTTATATTGTTACAGTCGAATACAATAAATACCAGTACTTTTTTTTTTTTTTTATATAACCTTTTTTTATATATTTTTATTATGTTGAAAATCAAAGACACTATTATTGATACTTTATATTTTAAATTTTTTTTACACTTATAAATTTATGCACAAACTATAACAATAAATTATATAAAACAAACAGAAAAAAAACTTATATTAATATATATATATAATTATAAACGTAGTGAATTTTACAGTTTTTCTTGTAATATGCTTTTATCTAATTAATTAATTAATTAATTTATTTATTTTGTTTATAAAAAGATCCTATACAATAATTTCTTCACACTTAAGCTAATTTTAATTTATAAAAAAATTTTTGTATCTGCCTATAATGCATTAAGTATTTCAGTTTTTTAATGTCAATGCATTTCGCACTGGTCAAATAATGCATATCGGGTAAATTTCATAGCTTTTTTAGTCCCGACGTGGCAATAATTGAATCAGGTTCATATCGGAACTGATAGAGCCATCAGTAAAATTATTAGAGTTATCAAGTTTCTGATATTTTACCAATAGCTCTATTAGTTCTGATATGCACCTGGGAATTAGGGTGTGTGGCACGGCTAAAAAATTTGCATACCATAGGGCATGCCATCTAGCAAATTTCATGCCAAAATGCCACACTGGTATACCAATGGCACACTATCATATTACCGAAAATAGATGTATGTAAATATTGAATATACAGTACATTAAATGAGTGCGTGAGAGTGAAAACCTAGAAGTGAATATTTGGCCCCTAAAAAGTTATGATCGGCGTTTTGGTAATTTTAGTAGACAGTGATTTTACATTACTGAAATGATTTTTGGTTTTCATTCTCACGCATTTATATGAGATAAGCTTCTTTACTGTTACGGGTGAATCGTATGATTAATAGTTTATACACAAAACATAGATCTATATGATATAAGGCGGTGAATTGGTTATATAATATAAGGGGAATTGTTATCGAGTTAGTGAGCTTATGTCGCACATAAGCGTCATACCCAAGTTACGCCCTTTTTATAACTTAAAGGATTAATGAGGCTTGAACATAACTCACCTTATTGTATCACTAGTTAAAAAACCATATTTTAACTAAATAATAACCAGTAATATATAGTACAAATTATAACTTATTTACTACAATACTGGACAGCAAAACGCATCCAATTTTTATTAATAAAAACTTTAAATCATTATACCTTAAGTTTAATCGACAAATTGATAGATATTTGGCTAAACTACATTTTTTTCCGAGGATTTTCTATTATTTTTTGTTTTAAAGGAGTTATTAAGAGTTAAACTTCATAATGATTTAAAAAATTGGCGTTTAATATAATATATATATATATATATGTTTAATTAACCAACTAGAATCAATTACATCAAGATTAGCCAATCAGATTGATTATATAAGCATCAAAAATTGGTATAGAGTGGATGTTTTATGTTGTTCGGCACTGTATATATTTACTAGGCAATATAAGTGGTTTAATATATTTTTAGTTAATATATATGTTTAAATACATATATTACCTAGTGAATATATTACTTATATAGTTAAATATGATTAGTGTATAGTGGCTTATTTTCTATCGGTTATAGTTAAATTATAAACTTGTTTGTTTATGATGTCATTTTACCCCGTGACATTACGTAGCCTAATGACAATACATTATTTAATTCAATGTCATTGAATATAAATAAATGACTTTGTAAAAGTGATTTAGGAAAATTTATCAGTAAAATGATTATGTAAAGCGAAATGATTGTAGAAAATTACTGTAAGAATGATTGAGAAATATATAATATACAAAATTGGTATACAATAGATCTATTCTAATTATTTGTTTGCACATGCCATACTCTTTGAAGATCCATCATGTAATTAATTGCCTCTATACGTTATTTGGCTTTTACCAATGTCTGTACAACAGATTCCCGGGTTTGTTAAATGTTTTAAAATTGGTGGAATGTACGTATCAAACCCGGGTCTTGTATACGTACATTTACGGTAATTGTTTAGCACTGATTATACAAACATCGATATTATTATAATGACGTTATTGATCAATCAGTAAAAAATGTCGGTTGTTTATACACATAAAATTTTTAAGCCCGTATTTCATTAAAAGCACGTGTAAATAAATATACGTTACAAGATGTTTAGCTTTAATTAATTAATTAAGCAGTGTACTATACATTAAACTACTAAAAGCTACGCATAGTAATGGGACCTCTTGGATTAATAATAATAATTACGTAATTAGCCGACTATTAATTAAAAATTACTTAAATAATGTGCATCGCGGTACCATTAATTTTATAACTTTTAAGGTAATGACAGATATTATGTAATATCCCGAGGGGGAAGTGTCTTTGACATCTTACAGTATGCTAGATATATAAATTCAAATGGCCAATCAAATTTCTCTTACGCGGAGAGAGGGCATTACGTAATATCTGCCACTACCCTTAAAGCATGATTTTATTACGATTTTATTTATATTTTTTTTTTTACTTAGGAATTATTAGCAATGATCAAATTATCAATGGTTAACAAGAGTTTAACTATAAAGAGCTGGGAGTTTGAGTGATTTAGAAATATCAAGATATGCGTAACGTATGTCAAAATAGAATCTTAGTAGATTTAGAGTCAGCATAAATTTTGATTTTAAATACACATAAGATGAACGGAATTTTAAATCCTCTCAAATTTATAATAGTTGAGTCTAGTGTTCTGACCCGAGTTGAAATATAATCACCTGGGTGGTCAACCCGCGGGTCAACAAGTACTGACACGTGACTGATCGGCGGAAATTGGCCAATAATATTACAGTACTAATTGAGGATCGTTTTAAATTTTTTTAACTTCTAGCGAAGGTTTCTCAATAACCTCCTAATTAAATTCAGTGAATTTTTTTATTTTAATTCTATTATTTTGTAGAATTATGATAAAAATTTCATGAAATTTGGTATGGCATTTATCGAGAAATTTTCGCTTAAAGTTTTAAAAACCCGGAATATCTTAGGTAAATTTTCTTTTTCAAACTTAACTTGAAGATTTATTAGCAACCACCTAACCATATTGGACGAAAATTTTTTTATTTTAATTCAATGAATTATGTAGTAGAATTAAAATAAAAAAGGAGTTGGTTAGGTAATTGTCGAGAAAGATTCATTTAAAGATTAAAAAATTTAGCTACAACTTCTCTTTCATGGACGTTTAACTTTGAACGGAGTTTTCATGGCAACTACCTATCCAACTTCAATAAAATTTTTTTTATTTTAATTCTATGAATTTTATATAATTAAAATAAAAAATTTTTATCAAATTTGAATAGCTGCTTGTCGAGAAATATTCATTAAAATAAAAAAAAATCGGTTTTTTTTAAAGACATCTAAACTTTGAACGAAGATTACTCGGCGCCAGTGTTGGAAATCAGGTTGAGATTTATGTTCTCATGAGAACAAATATACAGTATTTAATTTGATGTTCTCGAAAATTTATTTATGTTCGCAACAAAAAATTTATTTATATCCCTATTTTTTAAATTTCTTAATCTCATCTTTTATGTTCATTCATTTTCTTTTCGGGTGATTTCGGAACTTCGTTCGATTCCTAATTTTATTTCCATCTGGCATTATGCTATTATATTTATATAATATTTATATAGAGAACATATTTTTCGAGTATTATGTTCTCAAATTTTTTTTTATAGAGAACATTTACAGAATATCAGACGTTCCCAAATATAAAGGTATGTTCACATGAGGACATGAAAACATAAGGTTTCCAACACTGCTCGGCACTTACCTGGTCAAATTCGATTAAATTTTTTTATTTTAAAATTTTGCTCGAATTTGACTAGGTAGGTACTGAGTAATCTTCGTTCAAAGTTCGTTATAAAAAAAAAAAAGCTGCCGCCGATTCCTTTTTAAAGTTAAATAGAATTAATATAAAAAAAAAATCCATCAAATTAGAAGAGTTTGTTGTTGAGAAATCTTCGTTTAAAGTTTTTAAAAAAATCTGTTACAATATTTCTTAAATTTTTTTTTAAAAAAAAAACTTTACTCAACAACCAACCCTTCAAATATGAAAAGATTTTTTGTTTTAATTTCATGAGTTCGTGAAATCAGAACAACAAATTTAAATAGCCGATTAAAAAAAATTTTGGCTGCAGCTTTTTTTTCTAAACTTTGAACGAGGATTACTCGGCACCTACTCGGTCAAATTCGATCAAATTTTTTATAAGTTAATAGAATTAAAATAAAAAATTATCGAATTTGACCAGGTAGGTGCTGAGTAATCTTCGTTCAAGTTTAGATGTTTTAAAAAAGAAGCTGCGGCCAATTTTTTTTTAACTTTTAATAAATATTTCTCAACAAGCAGCTATTCAAATTCGATCAAAATTTTTTTATTCTAATTCTATAAATTCATAGAATTAGAAAAATTTTTGTCGAATTGATAGGTAATTGTCATGAAAACTTCGTTCAAAGTTAAACGTTCATGAAAGAATTTTTGATTTGATTTGCTAACGGCTGAGGATCTTCAAAAACTTGGCCCGCATTACATAATTGTTTACTAATCTCCGGCCGGAATTAACCTTTTAATTTTTTCTTTACAAAAATAGAATTTTTTTTAAAAAATAAACCCTTATTATGATAAAATTGGCCAAAGACAATTTTCACTTAATAGGCAGCTGTGATTTTATTAGTAAAATTCTAAGGAATTCTGGTTTAATTTTTTAATTGTCACTCTTAGCCAATCAAAATTGAGAATCTGCTGTGACAATTTTGATGCAGCAGGTTAATCATGAAAGAGAAGTTGCAGCTAAATTTTTTATTTATCTTCAGATGGCAATTACCTAACCAAATTAGATAATGCTTTTTTTATTTTAATTTTACAAATTTGCTAAATTAAAATAAAATAATTAGATTAGGTAGTTGCGAAATCTTCAAATTTGAAAAGAAAATTTACCTGATTTTTTCAAATATTATAAATTTTTTTATTATAATTCTACAAGACAATAGAATTAAAATAATAAAAATTTACTATAATTTTATTCCTAACTTCTACCAATTAGTTATATACCTATATTTTTTACTGGATAGTTGTAAGTCAACTTACAGGTTATTTGCTAGCAAAATTGCAAATAAATCTAATTGTAGCCTAAATGATTAGAAAATTATGCCTAGTTATAGCTTTTGAATCTATATTTATATCACAATATAGCTTGAGCCAAAATATTCATGCAGATAACAGCTTTAATTAAGCTACTCAAGTTTATTAAAATTTACTATATTTAGTAGAATATATTGTATATTTATATTAATATTAGTAGTTAATTAAGATATTATGCTCATAAATATTACATATTGTTCATTTTATTTGTATTAATTTAGTGCATGAGCATAAAAATATTTATAAATTTAAGTCTTTAAATTTATGCTTATGAATATTTACTACAGTCTGACTTTTTTAAATACATAATATCAGGACCATAGTAAAAATTTTTAAAAATATATATTTAAAGAGGTTATGCATTTGAGAGATAAAAATCTATAAATGTTATATTAAGTTGGGCTAAAAAAAAATATGCATTTAGGGAGATTTTATGTAGATATGCATTTAGGAAGAATGCATTTAGAAAGGTCTTACTATATTAGCTTGTATATAAGTATAAAAAATATTGTACAATAATAAAGATTAAATAAAATATTAACATTCATAAATATTTACTACTTAATTTGTCTCTTAGTAACAGGTGTTACAAATAGAAAAACAAAACAAAAGAAGCAAAATAAAGAAAACTAACTATGGATTATCTGTCTTTTCTACTTTCATACTATAAAGTACATACTCATACTAATAGTGCAGAATTTAAGAGAATTGAATGAATAGATATTTATTATATATACTACTATATATACTACTAAAGCAACTTTGGCAAGTTGACAAAATAAACCAGAATTTTTCTAAAAAAATACTGCAATCATAAAAAACCTTGTGACTGTCATTCTAACAGGCTATTTTCTACCCCAAATTTAAAACTCAAAAAGTAATTGTTATCCCAACAGATTACTTTTTACTAAAATTTATATTTAAAAACATAACTATTATCTATATAAAACTCAAAATATAACTGTCATTCTGATAGACCACCTTCTGCTAAAAAGCTCTAAACAGCTAAGTAATAGTTATCATTTTCAATAGATCAAACTTCAATATACAATATTAGAGCCAGATAGGATAAAGTGAAAAAACTAGACAAAGTCAGATTAGCAAAAAAAAAACAAACTTTATTTTTTCTAAAAAAAAACCTGCTTTTCTTAAATACTACTAATGATTATTAATTTTTTTTTAAAAAAAGAATATTATTTTTAGTTCACACAATACATCAGATAAATTAAAATAATAAGCTTATAATAACATTATATAATAAATTAAACAATATATTAAATAATCAATTTATGACTAATTTGAAACAAAAAGCTACTCTAATATTTTCATATTAGGTAGCTAATTTTGTTTCTTACTAATGGGTATATAAACAAAAAAACAAAACAAAACAAAAATAAAAAAGAATAATTATAAGTTTTGCAGTGTATTACTATATAAACTCTTATCATAACAACTTGTCTTGCCAAAT